TTCGCCGGCTGAAATATCAATCGTGGTTTCGCTGCTAATTAGCACGATTTTTGGGCGGTTCGAGATGTGCGCTCTCTCTGGGGAGGGTGTTCCCGCGCTCCACTCTGTAGTAGCTACGAGGCTAGTTTCGAGACATAGGGTAGAATTCGGTACTTGGAGGGCCTGTCGATTTTGAGGGCTGGAGGCCGTAGGGCTCGCAATCTTAGGGGCTCTAAAGTGCTTGCAAAACGGGCGCGCGCGGCATCGGAAGCAGTTTGAGGGGAGCTCGCGAGCTGCTTGGAGGCGCGCCGTCGTGCTCCGGAGCTGTTTGGGAGCGACGCGCGCTTGCGCGCGCTATGTTCGGCGCGGAGGGCGCGGGAGCAGCTCGCAAGCTGCTGGGCTGCAGCCCGAAAGTCGCCGGGCTGCGGCTCGCAGGCTGCCAGCAAGCAGCTCGCAAGGCGCCAGCAAGTGGCTCGCAGGCTGCCAGCAAGCAGCTCGCCAGGCGCTCGTCGGCTGCTGGCAAGAGGCGCGCCCCTTAAAGTTCCTCTAAAGCCCGTTTTGCAAAGACTTTAGAGCCCCTAAGATCGTCAGAGCTGCGGGCCGTAGGCCCGCGAATCGACAGTGCTCTAAAGTATCGAATTCTGACCCATGTCTCGAACTGAGGCTTGTAGCTATCACAGAGTGGAGTGCTGGAACACCCTCCCCAGAGAGAGTGCAATGGTTATCTGGATATATTCTGCATGGTTTTGGTTTTGCAGAGGTTTTCTCAAAGCACTGGAAGATTTTCACTGGGAGCTGCGGTTTTCATGGCATGGAACCTTGGTTTTCAGCTGCGAGAACAGTTTTCGACATGTGGCATGAGTTGCTTGAGCTTTTGAGTGAGCTGAGTGAATGCTGTGAGCCGTTAGTTTGATTAGAGTCCGCATGAGTTCTCGAAGGCCTCAAGGTACCTTCTCGAACAGCTGTAGTGTGTGCAAGTTTGTTTGCCAGCGTGGAGCTTGTAGGAAGCTGTGACGGCATGCTTTTGAAGCGAAGTTTTGTTTTGACATGTGCTGAAGCACATGTGAATCCGGAGTGCCGCGCTTATGTGTGGCTCAAGGCTGGAAAGCTTTGAGACTGAAGCTCGTTGAGAATGGGCCAGTGATGAAACTTGTTCTGAGGCCCATGAAAGCAGAAAGCAAAGCTTAAAGCTTTAGGTGACAGCAGTGCAGTGCAAGAACAGCTGAACTCTTCGTTTGTTGCGCGAGCAAAAGTCTGTGCAGACCTTGACGGGTTGTTCAGGGTTTGTAAGTTTTACATGGTAGCGGAGCACTGTTTGTGCTCCCACACCATTTCCGCCGACCCAAAGAAGGTGTTATGTCTCAAAGGCCTATAGGTCCAAGTGCTGAGGCGCCAGCTCCGTGTAGTCCAGGTCTTGCTGAGGCTGGAGGGGAGTATGGGTGTGGTACAGCTGGGTGTGGGCAACAGGAAAGGAGGCAAACAGGTGTGGAAGGTGTGAGTGGTGTTGGGTCAAGCGATCCATGGTTTACAGGTGTTCAGAGAGATCCCTGGGCGTTGTATGGAAATCGTATGCGTGCTGGAATGGGACCGATGGAGTCTCATATTAGCATGCCATGTCCACCTTCGAGCGGTACGTCTTCAGTTGCGAGTGCATGTGCTGGTATTAGGCCAGTGGCGCCAGCTCCAGGTTTGTCAGTGCCTTCGGGTCCTGCGAGGAATCTTTCGACAGTTCCGAGTCAAGGATGTTGCAGTCAGGTTTCTGGAGATAATGCTAGTGCAGGGAGACAGCTGCTTGATCGCATGAATGCGCGTGAGTTGCAGTCCTTGTATGCAGATCTTAGCCAAAGACTGAATGTCCCTGTGAGTGGACAGTTCGTTCCTGAGAGATTGGGGCAGTCGCCACCTGATTTGAATGTGCCAGCTTTTGTGAGACATCAAGGTAACACGTTACCTGGTGTTCCAGCTGAAAATGCGAGGAGCAGTGAAGACAAAGACGTCTTTAGCCGCAGTGAGAAGTGGCTAGGGTCTCCACCTTCGCCAAATCATCAAGCGTGGAAAGGGCGTGAATCTGAAGTGCTGGGCATGAATGCCTATATTCACGAGTTGGTTGCATGGGCGAATCAAGCAAGTGTTGAGTTTGGAAAGGAGATCGCTCAGGCCGCGCGATGGCCTACACAGATTGCATGGAACACGTTGTCTAAGAGTCAACAAGCGCGAGGAGTTCGTTTGTTTAGTGTGCTGAAGGCAGCGTTTGCAGATCATGGGCGGATAACTCTTATGATCCAAAGCTTCGGAGAAGGGCTTGACATTGTTGCAGTCGCCATGCAGGGAGATGTTTTCGGGAACTCTCTTTCGTATATGGGTAATGGCTTTGAGTTGCTGAGGCAGCTTGCCAAGGAGTTTTCTTTGAGAAGTCGTGCTGAGGCTATGAGTCTCAGGGCGATGCTGATGGCAAGAACGTTTCGAGCGCAAGACTCGTCAGCTCCAGTTGCTGACACAGTGCGTCAGATTGAGGTGGCAGTGGCAAGGTTTGTGCGTTTACTTTCGACGCTAGATCCTAGAGATGCTGCTGGGTTTGCTTTGACTGACAGTGATCAGCTTACGCTTTTGATGAGGTCTTTGCCTGAGAGCGCAAAGGCGTATACGTTACATCATTCGCAGGGTGAGACATATGCCTCATATCGATCTTCAGCTTTGCGATGGGAACATCAGCAGCGTTTGTTTCTTGAGTTGCAAGGGGCCAAAGGTTTGTTTGGCTTGCATGAAACCGAGTTTTCTGAGAGCGCAGGCTCGCCTGAAGCAGGTGAGGAAGTGGGTGGTCACGTCTTTGGCATGAGTGCCAAGCCTTCTGATGCTGGGAGCGGTGTGAAGTGCAACCGTTGTGGCAAGAAGGGGCATCAAGTGAATCAGTGCACGACAGACCTTTCCAAGGTTAAGTGCTTCAAGTGCGGAGAGATGGGCCACATATCTTTGAACTGTGCCAAGGGCAAGCAGAGTGATGGTTCTCAGTCGAGTGCGAGACCTAAGGGTTCTGATGGCAAAGGTGCTGCTGCGGCCAAGGGTCAAGTTTCTTTTTCGCCTAAAGGCAAGAGCAAAGGAAAAGGAGGAAAGAAAGGAAAAATGTTTGCTCTGTTTGATGAGGAGACAGGGGTTTGGTGGTACACAGATGCTGATGAATCTTTTTACACCGAAGAAGGTGACGATCAAGAGACACAGCAGGTGGATGCCACTCTTGTGTTGTCTTGTGTCATTGAGTCAACTGATGAGCCCAATACGCGTTTTGAAGCTGTCCTTGAAGACAGCGAGTCGGTGTCTGTTGTGCTCCAAGAGCAGTTGTGTCAACCTTTGTTGCAGTCGTTGGGTCAGTCGCTTGGAAGTGAGTTTTGGCTGCTTGACTCAGGTGCGTCATGCTGTGTTATCAACCATGTGACGTTGAAGACGCTTCCGCATGATGAGTTGACTGCATGTGGTTCGACGTTTATGGCTGCGAATGGGACTCCTGTTCCCTTTGATGGTCGTTGCCATGTTGTGCTAAAGGTTCGCACAAAGGATTCAAGTGGAGCTACCAAGAATGGTGTCTGCAAGATTCCTGTGATGGTGGGTGACACTCCTTACAATATCCTGTCAACGCGAACTCTTGGAAGGCATGGTTGGCGTGTTGTCTTGGATGAAGGCGTTTCTGTGTGTCATGTGAAGTCGGGTGTTGATATGATTGATACCTGTATTTGGTGTGACACGCCTTGGATCCGCGTGATTCCTCATTCAGAAGGTGATCTCTTGTTGCCGTCGGATGCCTCAGTTGATCCTGCTCCAATTTCCTCGATTGGACATGTTGCAGTTGTTTCGCAGAAGACCAAGGAAGATCTTGAAATTCACAGAGCAAAGGGCCACATGCCCTTCCATCCTGATTGCGAGCATTGTCTGAAGTCCCGAGGTGTTACCCAACACAGGCGAAAGTCTGAGCGCGGAGTGGAAACAGAGATTGTTGCAGATTTTATGTTTCTCGACTCTTCTGGAGAGACGATCAGCGTAGCTGAGCGCCAGACAAGTAGCTCTTTCAAGGTCCTCGTCCTTCGTGAGGCCTTTTCTTCTTCTATTGGGGCTGTGATGATAACTGAGAACATTGCAAAGGACAGAGGTCTTCTTTTGAAGTGGCTTGCTGAGTTTGGGTTGTCGTCCTCACAGGCAAGCATTGTGCTTTTGACAGATTCCGAAGAAGCGGTGAAGTCGTTTGTTGCAGGTGCGTCGGATAAGTACATCTTTATGGTGCGCAAGGCTGCGCCACAAGCTCATGAACAGCTTGGTGGTGCGGAAAGGACAGTCCGGGTCCTTAAAGAAGGGCTAGCTACTCTGCAAAGTGATTTTCAGTCGCTTGGTTGCGTTTTGTCGTTTCGGAGAGACTTGTTGCAGCTTGCACTTTCTTACCTGTGCATGAGTGTGAATTCGAATGGCAAAGCTTTTGGCGGTGAACGCTCTCCAAAGGAGGTTGCAGTTGGTCGAAGGTTGCCAGATACCCCTTTTGCGTTGTTTGGGTCCAAGGTGCTTGCTGAGGTCCCTGAGTCTGTGAAGGCTTTGTGCCCGAATATGTCGCGTTTTGAGGCGGCAGCTTTTCTTCACCCGCAATTTGGGTCGCTTGGGAGCTTGGTGTATGCGCATGTGCGTGTGGGCCAGGTCTTGACGCCAAAGGTGTTTGTTGCCAAGTCGATCAAGCTTGTGTTTCCGATTGAGCTTGTCTTCGAGTCGGGGATGTTTGAAGTTTTGCGTCGTCGTGGTGAGCTTGGGCCTGAGAGGCCAGATCATCCAGTTGCGCCTCGGATTCTTCCGAGTTCCCAGGGTGCCTCTTTGAAGTGTCCTGTTTCCGGTCCGCCAAAGGAGTTTTTGAGAGGTATGGGTTCTCAGGTGAGTGCCGAGCGTGTTCTAACATGGCACAATTTGGGTCTAGGAAGGGCTCTTCTCACGGTCGGGCTTGCTGTTTGAGATATGAAGCGTGGTTGCGGTCGCAAGTTGCAACAGATGACAGCATGGACGTTGAAGTGCCTGTGGCTTCGGATGCAGAGGCTATGCGTGAAGCTCTTTCTGAGCTAGCCGAGGATGAGTCGAGGCAAGACCGAGCTGTGGAGGAGGCTCAGGGTTCTCCTTTGCCTCCCCCGGCCAATGGGGACGCTGCTTCGTCTGAGGCTCCAGCGAGGATTGTGAGCGAGGCGGCCCCCAGTGGTCGTGTTTTCACGCGTGGTTGTCCTGCGTGCGAGTCTGGCATGAATGCTCCTGGCATTCGTCACAATGCTGATTGCAAGCGAAGAAACCAACATCTCAGTGTTAGATTTTCTGTTTCTGGGGAGCCCGATGATGACGAAGCTTCATCCAGGCGTCTGCCTGAAAATCTTGAAGGAGCTGCTGCTCCTGAGTCTGAGGGCATTGGGGCTCTTGATGAGGACACTGAGATGCCGTTTGCCGATCCAGTGTTGACTGGAAGTGAAGGCGGAGGCAGCCTAGAGGCTGAAGAAGTGCTTCGTGGAAGCAGTGCTGTGAAACGCTCCTCTGAAGTCCCGTTGGAAGATCTGGAGCGTGAGATCAGGCAGGACCAAGAAAGGGTTGCTTCAGTTATGGTTACCTTCCACAATTGCGAAACAGGGAATGATGTTCACATGCCTCTTGCGAGTTTTGTTGAGCAGGCGTTCCAGGTTTCCAATTATGTCCCTTTGCTTTCAGGGCTTGTGGATTCGGTTCAGTTCGCCCCGAACTCTACGAGTGTTGTTTTGCCGTTTGGGAAAAGGTCGCATTTGAGACTTTGGAAGCCTAGTTCCGCTGTTGATGACTCTACCTTGGGTGAGCTTTCAGGAGATCAGGTCATGGAAGGCATGGTCAAAGAAGTCAACAATTTGAGTCACATGGAAACTGGGGATCTGTTGACTGCTTCAGAACTTCAGAGTCTTGAGAAGAGGTTCCCAGGTACCTTGAAGGTCATCCCTAGTCGTTGGGTCACGACGCAGAAAACACCAACTACAGTGCGAGCTAGGATTGTCATCAAGGATATTGCTGGCAAGAACTCAGAGTCTGCAAGGGCTTTGGGCATCTCGAGTCCTACTCCTAGTGCCGATGCTTTGTTCACGGTTCTTGGGGTTGCAGGTTGCAGAGATTGCGTGATTGCAGGTGCTGATGTATCTCACGCTTTCATGGCTACGCCTTTGAGAGAAAGGGATGTGGTGATGAGGTTTCCTCTGTCAGTGTCTTCGGTTTCAGGGGATCCTTTGTATCTTCACCTCAACAAAGCCCTCAATGGGCTACGCAAGGCTTCGCAAGAATGGATCTACTTCGTAGGGGAGACTGTGAAGGTTTTGGGGCTTCAAAGTTGCAGCTTAGAGCCGTGTCTGTTTTCAGGCATGCTTGAGTCAGGTCCCTGTTTGCTGTTGGTCTATGTGGATGATTTTCTGTGCATTGCGCCAACAAAGGAGGATGCAGATCACATCTTTGAGGTGATTGAGAAGAAAGTTGAACTCAAGAGAACCGGGTTGATCAATTCTTCCAAGGATGGCGGTGGCACTTTGCGGTTTATTGGTAGGGTTATCTCCAGGAGAAAGGGGGAGTCCTCTATCACAGTGTCTTTGCCAGAAGATTATTTGGATGAGACCTTCAAGGCTTATGGTCTTTCGGGAAAAGGTTCCTCAAGTCCTCCAGATGTTGCGGTTCATGTTGAGAAGCAAGATGGGGTTCCATTGTCTCCTGAGGCGTATGCCAGGTTCAGGTCTGCGTTGGGGAAAGTAGCTTGGATGACGCAGACTCGTCAGGACTTGCGTGCTTATGTGTCAATTTTGGCAACGCAGCAAGCCACACCCACGAATCATACTGAGCATGGTCTCCGAGCCTTGCTTCGATTTCTGAAGAACGACATGTGCGTGGTTGTGCGGTTGCCTGCTGCGAGTGATGTGTTGGCTCCCTCGCAACACTACCAAGGAAAGAGGCACCTTGTGTGTTTCTCTGACGCATCGCATGCGCCTTTGAGGTGCACGAAGCGCCGTGGCATCAGTGGAGGAGTGTTGACACTTGATGGCTGCGTGATAAAGACTTTGTGTCGTCACCAACAGCTTGTGTCGCTGTCGTCTATGGAGTCAGAGCTGTTTGCGTTGCAGTCGGTTGCTCAAGAAATGTCGAGTCTTGGAAAGTTCATGGCAAGGGTCTTCATGTCGTTTCGAGAAAGCGAGGAAGTTGAATTGCCTGGGATACTTTACAGTGACTCAGAAAGCGCTTTGAAGCTTCTTCGCAATTTGGACACACCCAGACAAAGCAGACATCTTGAGATAAGAGTCGAGTGGCTTAAAGCTCGTGTCGCAGCGGGTTCTTTGGTCCTTGCGTTTAAGAAGGGAATCGAAAATCCGTCAGACCTCTTGACTAAATGTTTGGGGTCCTCGGCTTTCGGGATACATCGCGAAGCGTTGGGCTTTGAGTCGCTGTCGGGACCACTTGCGTCTTTGTGCAATCATGAGAAGAGATTGGTGATGGTTGAAGTGTGCTGTCGACCGCAGTCGAGTGTTCAAGGTGCATGTCGCAGAGTCGGGATGAGTTACGTTGGCGTGACTGAGAACATGCAGAGTGACAGCGTGTTCAAAGAGGTGCGTCGATATCTTCTGAACTTTGCGTGTGACTGCGTGTTTGTGCATGTGTCCACGCCTTGCTCTTCTGGATCTTACTTGCGTCGGTTCTCTGGCGGGAGCTCGTCGAAGTCGGATTGGGAATGGTTTGAGGTGTTTCCTTGTGTGTTGAAGTACTTGAAGCTTGGGAAGCACTCGAGCTTTGAGCTGCCATGGAACAATGAGATTTGGCAACATGACTTGTGCCAGAAGGTGCTGAAGAAGGCAGGCCACACGTTCGATGTGCCGGTGAGGTTGTGCATGACTGGTCTTTGTTCGAAAGGGGGTGAGCCTATAGGCAAAGTCTTGGGTTTTACTTCGACTTCTGAAAAGTTTGTGTCTGCCCTGAAGTGTTTTTCCAGCTGCAGGTGTGCTAAGCATGCAAGTCTGTGGCAAGTTGGGTGGACCGAAACAGGTTTTTACACTCCGAAACTCGCTGATGCGATTGTTCGAGGTGCGATCAAAACGTTGCAGTGATGCTTTTGGGGGTTTGGGCCGGGCTGTTGGCTGGGTTCGGATTCTCCTCTTGACGCCGGTTTCTTTGCGGACGTTGAGGTCTGCAGACAAAGCTCCGTACTGGTGCTAGTTGTTTTTGCGTGTGAAACCTAGGTGCGAACTCGTGCTGCCATGGTTCTCACGACCGATGAGCGCAGGGAGCTGCGCCGTTTGCTGGATAAGATGGATTCTGCAGATGGCTTGGCTTCGACTGCCAATACTTCTATGACCGATGGGACCAAGCGTCTCAGAGATGTGGGTGGATATCCAGAGGATGGGTCTACTGCATCAGGATCTGCTTGCGGTGCCCAGCTGCCGATTTCAAAGGGAAGCGCAAAGGGTGCTGTGAGCACTCCCAAGTGTTATGAAGACCTCGTCGATGCATTCGAGGGGGAAGAGTTTGGGGATAGCGACAATGTGATTGTCGTGAGCTATGCAGGTACTGAGGTCACCTCGGTGCCACTTCCAAGTAATCTATCTATGGAGGATTGGGGTCGGACAATCTGCGATCTGCCAAAGGTCCAGAAGAATAAGATGTGGTTTAAGAAGTCCTATGCGACCTTGGTCAAGCTTGCCAAGGAGGATAGCGACCTTGCAAGCTACCTCAATTGGATCAAGGAGAAATTTGGTCGCAATTATGATCCGACGACCTCCTCCAGTCAGTCCTCGGACCTTGCGGGGTATTTGATGAGGATTGGTTTTTCAAAGCAGAAGGGATTCCAGCGCAAGTTGGCGGAGGAGTAAAATCCTCGCTGGGATTGCGGAAGGAGCATGGGTACATGTATGAGCGGTGAGAGCTGGTATTCTCAAGGATGCCTATGTGTATGTTCACTGTTAGAAGTCTGTTGGGCTTCGCTTTGGGTGACGTCCTGTCTGGCATGAGAGAAGAGCTGGCTATCTGGCGCGAGATTTTTCCAATACCTATGTCTTCGTCGCTTCGCATGGGTTGCAGCGTGGCTACATGGTTGGCAATGTTTCAATGTGTGCTTGGTGTCGAGAAGTGCTTGTTTTGGACAGCAGCAAGGATGAGAGATGATACACACATCGAAAGGGGGTGTGAAAAGTTGTACCTCTGAGCTGCCTGTTGAGTGGTGGAGCCGCTCAGTGTGATGGGCTGCGATATGTATATCATCAGGCTGCTGACTGCAGTTTGGGAGCAAGCCAATTTTCCTGCGATTCCTGGAATTTTCTGAGGTGCAATGGTTATCTGGATATATTCTGCATGGTTTTGGTTTTGCAGAGGTTTTCTCAAAGCACTGGAAGATTTTCACTGGGAGCTGCGGTTTTCATGGCATGGAACCTTGGTTTTCAGCTGCGAGAACAGTTTTCGACATGTGGCATGAGTTGCTTGAGCTTTTGAGTGAGCTGAGTGAGTGCTGTGAGCCGTTAGTTTGATTAGAGTCCGCATGAGTTCTCGAAGGCCTCAAGGTACCTTCTCGAACAGCTGTAGTGTGTGCAAGTTTGTTTGCCAGCGTGGAGCTTGTAGGAAGCTGTGACGGCATGCTTTTGAAGCGAAGTTTTGTTTTGACATGTGCTGAAGCACATGTGAATCCGGAGTGCCGTGCTTATGTGTGGCTCAAGGCTGGAAAGCTTTGAGACTGAAGCTCGTTGAGAATGGGCCAGTGATGAAACTTGTTCTGAGGCCCATGAAAGCAGAAAGCAAAGCTTAAAGCTTTAGGTGACAGCAGTGCAGTGCAAGAACAGCTGAACTCTTCGTTTGTTGCGCGAGCAAAAGTCTGTGCAGACCTTGACGGGTTGTTCAGGGTTTGTAAGTTTTACAAAGGGCCAGTGCAAGCCAGGCATGCTGGCAGCCCTAAACCCGACTCTACTCCGTGCTTGCAGTCCGGCCACCCGGGGTGTCAGGCGCAGGGGCACAATGCCCCGTCCACAAAGGAGGGGTGATTCCCGCGGCTCGAGTCCCGCAGCTAGCTTGTGTTCAGAGCCCACCTCGCCCAGCTTCCCACTGGTGGGTCTCGCAAGGGCTAATGTATGGCCGGTCAAGGGTCATGGCTCCGGGCTAAGTCCGACAGCGGCAGCCGCAGGCGTGTAAAAGGTAGTTCCCCCCACCGTTCGACAGAAAAGTAGGGCAGCCCCCACTGCTCCATGCAATAAGGGCCTCCTGAATGGCTGGTGTTCGAAGGAATGCCGCTTGCTGGAAGGACTGAGAGACTAGCTCGTAGGCCTCCCGACACACCGATGCCAGCGTGACAACATGCTCTAGATCAATTTGTATCACGGTGGCCCGCACATGAATGCCGAGTCGTGCAGGAACCTGAAAATCGTGCGCCACCCGATAGCTGTAAAGTGTAAAGGTTGTATTGCGCGAGGTGCACTTCAACTCGGGAATAGTGGGCAGCATACTGGCGCTGGAGCAAGATGCGGGCAGCTCGGCGTTCCTGTCGACCGACAGACCTCATGAAGTGCCGGGTGACGTCACATGGCGGTGTTCCAAAGAGGGCTGGAAGCCGTTGTAGGACAATCCAAGGAATGACAGCAACCAACAGGAAGTCCGGCAGTGCCTCCATGGCGGCGACTGAACTGCGGCTACGCCGTCTGGCTACTTGCCCTCCGCTAGTGATAGAACTTCGCAAGATAAGCCAGGTACATGTGTATGTGAAGGCTCCTGGCAGAAAGTATCCACGGCTGCGTTGCTAGCCATCTACCACTGAAAAGGGGGCTCATTAGGGTTCGGACTGCACTGTGCTTGCTGGACTCACATATCTGCCCGTAGCCGAATGGCCAGGACCCAAAACGGGCACACCAGCTGCTGTGGTAGGCCGACTAAGGTCAACCATCGATCTGTCGGTCGTCCACGCACCTTATTATAGGCGGACATTAGGCGCATGTCGCGCCCAGTAGCGTTCGGCAACCTCCCCAAGTATCCTGCGGAAGTAACGGTGATCTTCCATTTGTTCGTCATTTAAGGCGCAGAAACTTCCACTCTCCATTATCCAAGCGCTTCTTAAGCTGGCGCCAAGTGTACCAGTAATTGGTGGAAGAAGTGTGGTAGTCAGGTACAAGCCGGAATCCTAAGAACTGATAATCAAGGCCGTTACCCGTCCCCCTTGTGCCCGGAACTGCCGAGCAGCAGCTACCCAGTCTTCTAGGCGGTGGTTCCATCCCAGAGTGTATGGCTGGTAGCCATCATGGGCGCGCATAGGAACATCCGCGAAGTCCCGACGGACGATCTCGCACCGTATGGCTGCCCAGCAGATGGAGTCGTTCTGGGTAATACATGGTGATGCATTTGGTCCTGGTAGCCAGACTGCCAGGGCTGCACGTAAGTCATAGCCTTCCTGGTGTGTCCACTGTCGAACTCTAGCCAGCGCACTCGACAAAAGTCCAGCTGGCTGCAGGCTCAGTGCCGCTGCTGGTCGCAAGCCGAGCGCTTCTTCTGAGAGCGGAATGTAAATGCGAAAGCGTCCTTGATAAGCAGCCGGATGGGTGAAGATGTCGGGATTCACGCAGGCATGATGAAGCGCGATGACGCTATTTTCCCAGTACTGCCGTAGTCTGCTCCCTATGCGCAATTGAAAAGGACAAATTTCCCGTGCTTCGAAGGAGGCCGCGAGGCGAATGCCAAGGTGTCCCTGTCTCCCCTCATCCGGGGCCTGTTGGTCGCTGTCACGAAAGGCTTCGAGAACCGAACGATGCGGGTAAGCCTGAGGACGATCGACCAGGCGCCGGACCACAAAGAGCAGCACCTGGATGGGGAGCAGGGCACTGCAATACTGAAGTTGTGAAAGTTCATGTTTAAGACATGTTACTTTGGTTGTCCTGCATGCCTGCTCAGGTGTGAGTCGTTTTAGCTGAAAGTTTTGCCTTGGAGGCTTGACTGACGAGCTTGCTTTCAGTGGAAAGCCTTTTGAAGTGCTTGAGAGTGTAGGGAAGTGTTTTTCCTTGGTGTAACTACGTTTGGAGTGACTGTGTAGCTGTAGTTCTGCTTGCACTAGTTTTGAGTAGGTCCCGAGAACTCCCACTGACGTTTGAGTTTGTTTTGCAGTTGTGGAGAACACGTGGCTGAGCAGTGTTTCACTTGCAGTGCTATGGCACATGGAATATCTGTGGCCAGTTGCACAGACAAAGCCTCCGGCTGCTGACTTTGGCTCAAGCCGTGAGAAAAAGAGGGTTCAGCGCGCTGCTGCTGTGTTTTCACATGGTAGCGGAGCGTGTGTAGCACGCTCGTAGCTGTAGAGAAGCCATGGCTGACCCTGCCCAAAGTGCCGCGACCCCAGTGCCTGAGGAGGACGACTTTGAACTGTTTGGTCCGAGTCCTGGAGAGGCGAGTCAGCCGTCGAACCCAGGACCTCAGCCTGTCCCGACTGTTGGACCGCAGCAGGCACCGCAGCCAGTGCCACAGCAAGCACCGGTTCCACCTGCAGTGACGACGACAGTTGGTTTGGACCCACAGCTGCAGCAGTTGATGCTGAATATGATGCAGATGCAACAGCAGACGCTCCAGGTCATGATGGCTAGGATGGACGCAGATGAGAGAAGAAGGCGAGAAGCTGAGGCTGCCTCTGCAGCTGTAGCTGACCCCTTTGGTTCGACGGCTGCGGCTGGAAGTCCGTCAGCTAAAGCTACTGCTCCTCCACCTCCAGCGTCTGCTGGTCCGTCGGTGCACGTAGGAAGCAACAGAGCTGAGAAGTACCTCCCTGCTTTGCCCACCATCGACGCTCCATCGATGGGGAAAGGGCGTGTGAAAGAGCTGGAAGAGTACCACCGTTGGTGTGAAGTCTTGGCGTCATGGTTGGCGCTCATAGACGACAACTACGTCAACGAGTTGCGCCAAGCAATGGTGCACAACAGGGAGATCAAGCAGTCAGAGATGTCTGCTCCTGTGGCTTCGAGGTCTGCTCGGTTGTTTTACTACCTTCAACAGAGTTTGCAGAAGTTTGAGAGAGGCATGGAGCTTGTGAGAAGCACGTCCATGCGGCAAGCTCAAGCTGCTTGTGGGTACGAAGTCATGCGGCAAATGCATGCGACTTTCAGCATTGTCTCAAGAATGGAGGCAATTGCAGTGAGAGATGAGGCCCTGAAGTTGCCTGCCAGAGCCCGAACCTACAAGAGGCCACTTGATGTGGTCCGGTTCTTGGAGGATGAGCTGGGCAAAGTGGATCAGAAGCTCCATCGTTTTCCGGAGCTGAAGCCCGGCGGCTCGGATCGCCTAACCATTTTGCTTCAATCTGTCAACCCTGAGTGCCGGCATTACGTTGTTTTGCACGGCAAGTCTGGAACTTGGGAAGAGCTTGTGACGAGCATCCGGTTCTTTGAGGAACAGACCAGGCTTTGCGACGCTGGAGCCCTTCACGCTGTTGGTGACAAGGGTTTGTGTTGGAACTGCGGCAAGGCTGGTCACTACAGTTGGCAGTGTCCTGAACCACCGAAGGGTGGCAAAGGAAAAGGCAAAGACAAAGACAAAGGCAAGGGTGGAAAGCCCTCTGGTGGTGGCGGTCGAGGAGGCGAGCCCAAAGGAAAGGGCAAAGGCGACAAGAAGGGCGAGAAGGGCAAGGACAAAGGAAAGTGGGGAAAGCCAAAGGCGAAGCCGAAAGCGAAGTCCAAGGGACGCGCTGTTGAAGACGAGCCGTCGGAGCAAGTGATGGCCTTGAGATTTCATCGTCTCAGGGGCATGCGCCCAGGGAAAGCAGTGAAGAATGAGCCCAATGATGCTGAGCCCCCACGTCTCACCATGACGGATAAGGAAGTAGAGAAGCTGAACCAGTCCTCTTCGAGGAACAGTCACT